AAAGATAAAAATGCATTATAACCCGACAAGGGCTAAATTCAACAAATAAATACAAGAGCATGAAATCTATACTTTAATGTCAAAATTCGCAAGTAAAATTAAACTGTTATACTAAGCTAAATTGCTTGTCCTAACTATGAAATTTAGCCAGTCATGTTCATCGGATATAAATGCGTAATAGATGACAACGAAATCACCCAGATTAAGAATAAAAATTGAAAACGAGTTATGGTTGAATATCGAACGTCACTTCGATTCTTCAACTTTCTTCTTGTCCTCTAAACCTAAGTTTTCAAATGGTAAACCATGTAGAAATTCCTAATTCTCATCTTGACAATTTAAATTGTTCACTTCTTTCAAGCATTTCCCCATTTTGGCTCCATCTTCAGTGATAGTCCGTGTCCGAGTTCTCTCATGCCACTTCTCCGCGAAGGTGAGAAAACTATACTCAAGCCGGTGATGATTATAGAAGCAATATGGGGCTCTGACGATAAAATCCAACAAATGACTTTGGCCATTGAAAAGCTGATATTAAGTCGTTAGAAGACAAGGATGTATAAATTGATGCACTCGTGCACAAACTCGAGTTGCAAAGATATATAAATTGCTAGACCTACTTTAATGATCTAAAAGTATTTTGATATACGACAAACAAGGTTAATCTAAACAAAAAATCTTCTTGCATAAACTACAAAATTAAGAAAATCTTGAAAGGAAAATTAAATCCAACTTACTAAGATCTTGTCAAGAAAATAAAATTCGCAACAATGAAGATCCCAACTCACAATCTTGATAGGAGGCTATAATGCATTCAAGCCAACAAATCTATATCTATACGTGTAATGAATAACAGTTTTTGATCCCAGCTTTACAACAAAGCACAAAGAAACAACCAGCAATTCATATAAATTCTCCTTGCTGAAAGTACTGCACTTGGGACAAATAATATAGGGCTAAACACAAATATTAGCATGTCAAACAGGATGAAATATACAACTTTTCAAGGGGGGGAAGAGCAACTAGTCCAACTTCTTGAGTAGTAAAAATATTGAACAAGGACGAGCATTTGAAACAATTACTCATTCGGAGCGCGGGTTATTCTTCTCCCACAGAAGAGATTTCTGCACAAGATAAGCAAACGTGAGCATATCATGGGTCGAATCCAATGACAAAAAGTTTAAAGAAATAGATAAGTATGTTGAGAATTAGAAACCCTAATTCTGTCACCAAGAATAACAAAATCGTAGAAAGAAAATAGGCACAAGAACGCGCAAGATTTATAGGTGTTCATTACAATGTGAGATTACGTCTTCTTCCACCGCTGCAATACTGGCTCCGCATAACGGCAATAACTAGGCTTCTCAACTTAACATAATAAGTATGTAAATTAAGATGTAACTATAAACGGTGAACACACAAATGTCGGTTTTCAATATTCATATTGTTGGCGTTCTAACTCACCATAAACATGTGCATACTCCCTAAAGTCATATTGATGGTTTTGCTTTCAATATTTTCTGAGGGTTTTATGCTGTCAGTAAAGTAAAATCCATTTGCCAACATATAATAAGGTTGCAGGTATTGGTCATAAATTTTTTTCGTCAAATCAGTGGAATGGACTCGTTAAATGAAAAGACCTGAAAGTTAGTTTGACAAAATTGCAAGAGAAAGAAGGGGTATTCATTTTGGAGATTAAAAAGATGTAAATATTATGTCATATGCCTAATAGTTGGGTGGATTTTACAATTAATATTGGGCTTATCGTGTATTGGACTAAGATTAATTAGTTCTTAGGACCATCAAGGTTAGGAACCTATAAATACATTTTGTACCTCATCATTATTCCTTGATAGCACAAGAGAAGTGGGAAAAATCCTAAATTTAATTCTCTCTAAATCCAACTAGTGGCCATGCATTGTTCATGGTATTGGAGTTCCAAGTTCGTTCTTAAGTGTGTGGATTATTATTAGATGCTAAACATATAGAGAGATGTGGTGTTCTGAGATTGTGGTAAATTCAAAATCGTCTCAGTTAATTGTAATCGTCAAAAGTATAACTCTTATCACATACTATATCTAAATACAAAAATGATCCAACCTTAGAGTATTGAAATTGTTTTACTACTATGCATGTTTAACTAAATATTCAACAAAACAGATGTAATTGGTTTAAAAATATCGACGCGAAATGGCATTTTGTATAGCATTAAAATGCTAATGATGACAATAGAACATGACAATAGCTAGTCTTAATAAAGTTCTTCTCCTATGCGGTACATTTGTTAGGGCAAAATTGGGTAGTACTGGATGTATTAAAGAAGAAATATAAACTAAAATCTTTTTCATTGTACTATTCAATTTTGTCAGCCTGTGTAGTAAACATGCAGTTGGGGTTTATGAAGATTAAATCACAAAGGCATTGGAAGTAAATCAAATAAAGTAAAGTGGTGGTCACGTTGTTTGAACAGTAAACTAGTGTGGAGCATAATGTTGAGTTACTAACGGAAAGCATCCTTGACGTGGCTTTTTCTTCTCCCTCTGTTTTTGAGGTGGCTTGATAACTACCCTGATAGCAGCATCAAAAACTGCTTTTACATTCTGCATATCGCATTGAGAGGGCAGAAAGTCAGTTACATTATAAATTCCAAAGAAATCCAAGACACACATCGAGCAACATCATATGGAATTACAAAAGAAAATGAATCACAGAATCTGGTTCAAGTGCAACAAGCAGCACATCTAACTATCCCATGCACATTCAGGCAAACATTATATGTACACAGACAAAACACAGTGTATCAGCCTGTAAACCACCATTACATTTAAAACCAACCATTATGCTTTCCCATTGTAATGGACCACTTTAAGAAATAGCCTGTCAATGGGTATATAATCCTGTAGGCAGATCAGGTAATGCTCTTCTGAGGACCCAATTATCAGTTATAAACTTTGTTCAATTTCAGAAATAAGTTATGGATGAGATACTACTAATTGGTTGTTGAATGATCAAGTATGGATGATTCTCATTATGTTAACACGTCTTATGTCAAAAAATTGATTTTCCTGATTTATCTCCCACTTCTCATATTACTCTTTTAGCTCATCTTCCATGCCTATGAACTGTTGAAATGAATACTTGAATTATGAGTTGACTCCAGATTTGATTAAGGCTGCAAATGATTATTCTGGAAAGAGCAAATAGACTTTTCAGACAGACTCATCATGTGAAACCGGAAAATATTATGGGTGGAGATCGATGGATCCTTTATTCTACAAGTTTCATCATTTGACTGGCAAAAGAACTACTTGTTGCAAAATGAAAAGCCAATACAACTATTACCTGTTGAGTTTTAGAGCTGCATTCAATATAGTAAGCAGCACCAATTTGTTTACGGAGCTCCTCTCCCTGGTTAATTATACATACACAAATCAGTTATTCTAAGATACAGAAAAAAAAACAGAGAGCTAGCAGCAGCCAATGATGAGAAGCCCTGCCTGCAGAGTGGTCACAGGAACTAATCCTGGATGATCAGCTAGGTAGTGCCTATCCTCGCGAAGGTCTATAGATTAAAACAATCGTTAGTTTGCACAATTATATGAAAAAGATAATAAACTGGAAAACAATAGTCAAAGAGTAAAAATTATTAGTTCAAATATGATGTAAATGCTACAGAAATATCATAATTCATACAATAAGACAGTTTCTTTTGAAAGGAAAAGTGGAAAAAAGGCCTATGCAATGTTCAGCTATGATTGGTCCCTTGAAGAAGTTTCACTGGTATTATGGAGGAATTTGGTCAGATAATTGACAATTCAGAAGGGTCATAAAGAACTAGCATTAGAACTGGAAAAGGGTATCCAAATTATAGGTTCAATTAAATACAAGGATTTATAGCCTATTTGATATAATCTATGATATGCTGACATCTAGACTGAGGTTCAATACCACCGGTGCTAGATAGCGTTATTTTCAGCTTGTGCGGTTTTAACACAAAATCTCAATTATTAGACATCATTGAGAAAGAAAAAGGCATCTAAGAAGAGTAAATAAAATATCGAACACTTGATCCAGTGGTTTTCCCATTTGAAAGCACGATGTTAAAATTCTCATATGAATTTGAGATGCCAGTTATGGACTGTCAATTGCAAACGTGAAAAACCACATGCAGAAATAGGATTTGACTCCCTCCACGGGATCGGGCATATATATTTTCTCCAATAATTCCTTATACTTTGGAATTAGTAACCATTACATTTTAAACCCTTGCTCCAATGGATAAGAAGATAAGAGGAGATTAATAATCCACTTGTCACCACATGGAATTTGAAGTAATTACAAAAGATGGGAAAAAATGAAAGAAGAAGAAAAAGGGATTTCTCAGCATCAACCACAGCTGATGTTTCTGGGAAGCTGCCAAACAATTTCAATGTCAACAAAAATCACAAGTTTTTACATGCAAAGTGTGATCCGTACTACCGGTTTGCTTTATTTCTGTTGTCAGACTTCAAACCTATCATGCCTTTCAATCACTCTTAAAGTAGAAGAAGAATAAGACATATCCCATACGCTAAAATGTTGAAAGGGTTTGATGTATATTGTTACACCTCTCTATGTGTTCAAGTGGAATATATTTATCAAGACATGGCTGAAGATGAGCCTAACAAGGGATCCAAAGGAAAAGAGAAAAGAAGAGGTTATAATAAGAATTGCTCACATTATTAAAAAATGCCAAAGCTATCCTGAATGGGCTCATGCATGTATTTCATTTTTTTTATTGGTATCACGAAGGTGGATTCAGGCTCCATATCTTCAGAGGAATTTTAATAAAGTTTTGGTAGACTTTCGCAGATGGATCTTCCTCCAAATAAAAAAAATGGTCAAGCAGGTCACTATCTTGACTCACTTTTCTCTGTAGGAAAACTCCCCTAAGTAATATACATTCTATATGTCTGTTTGTGTGCATATGTTTGTCTACACACACACACACAGCGAGACAAATGGTAAGAAAAGAAAATGGGATTGGTTAGCAGCACAGCACATTTGATATCCATATTTCAGACACATCTTTTGCAATCAGAAACAGATAGATTTAGCCGCATTAACCAAGGACATTCAATGTGACAAGGACAAACTTATTAGGGAAAAATGAGATGGTATTATCAAACTTTACCGTCAATTGATTAACCATGATATAACAAGAAAGGAAACGAACAAAACAACAACATTTTCAATAGAAAAAGCAAGGATAATTGAAGCGTTGGACGATATAACATACCTAACTTGGTGCCAACTAGTACCACTGGGATCCCAGGTGCAAAATGCTGAAGTTCAGGGATCCACTGCCCAAGAAATACTATTAAAATCATATTAAACACTACGATTCCGTATAAAAAATGTACGAAAATAATTATTGGAAATACACAGCTTTCAAGAATTATGCACCTTTTTAAATATGTTCTCATAGCTTGCCCGACTAACTAATGAAAACGCTAAGACAAACACATCTGCTCCTCTGTAGCTCAAAGGCCTTAATCTGTTGTAATCTTCTTGACCTGTAGATGCAATCAAAACACCAAAAACATAAATTTGAATCAGATAAGAGAATTTATTTATTGAGCAGGAGGTAATTGTTAGGAGAATTCATTCTTAAATTAGAAAATCATTGTGAAATATCAATTGAAAAACAAACTGATTTCAATAGTGAGAATGAGTTTACCAGCTGTGTCCCAAAGCCCTAAGTTAACTGTAGTTCCTTCAACTACCACATTTGCACTGAAGTTATCAAACACTGTTGGTACATAGTCCTGAAGTTGCAACAAAAGAAATTAATAAATACTATCATTAAGTACTTGTTTGGTACAGAATGGAATTTCTTTTTCTATGGTAATACAGTCCAATCTTGTCCAATCCTTCCTATCAGAAAGGCCATAAATGCGCAAAACAAATATAGGGAGATAAACACAAATTATCAGAGTCCAAGGAAGATACTGCTAAAAGAAAAGGAAAAAAATACCCAGAAAAATACCCTTTCTACCTACAAAACCAAGAGAAAAGCTGCAAAATCCAGATGCATACGGACGATTAAGTAATAAAAAAGAACAGAAAAGAAAGAAATCTACATGATTACACTGTATATTTGAGGAAATTGTCCAAAAAAGTATCTGACAAACAAATGGTACATATAAATCATAAACTGATAAACTTCAAATTGATCATTTCAAGAAGACAACGAATGTTTCTTTTAAAAAAAGGAAATTAGACTGACTGTGGGGAACTTGTTACTGGTGTAGCAAATGAGCATACAAGTCTTGCCAACGGCCCCATCACCAACAGTCACACACTTGATGAATCTTGAAGCCATTCTAACATCTGAACACTACCCAAGAAAACTTTGAAGACTACAAAAATTAGATACTTTTTAATATAGAAAGAGAGTAAAAATATCCAAACTTTGTGAGGTATTCGGTGGTTGAAATGGTTGGAAAAGCATGTTTTTTAATGAAACCGGAGAGAGAGAGAGAGAGAGAGAGAGTGTGTGGGTGTGAAGCATGGGTGAATAGGTCACACGGCTCTTATTCATTGACACTGTCTTTAGCAGAGTTGTTGAAATTTTTTTTGGCGTATAAATTAAAATTGGATCTTTATTAATTTTTATTTTTATCAAATCCGGTTCTACCTACCATAATGCCTTCCGTAAATGACGGTGTAGACTAGTGTATTTATTATGTATGGTCTTTTTCCCGTTTTAGACAGTAAGGACACATCTGCATTTGTTTTTTTTTTTTTGTTGACATAGCAATCTGCAGCCACTACCCGTCAGCGGAGCCTCGACCACCCTGAATGGGTGGAGGCCTGACCACTGTGAGTGCGCACTAGGTAAACCCCGCTCCATGTGCAGTAGCCCACAAATCACACAGGAAAGATAAACTGCACAAGGCAAACTTAGAATAAGTGGGTGTAAGTTAAAGAATTTTCGTATTCATTAATGAGAAATTTCTTTTTTTTATCAAACCTCTTCCACGAGAAATTATACCTGTGATCAGCCTGTGTGCCAACTTGATCTGATCTTAAATGTTTATATATTAATTTTTGAATAATTAATGGTTTTATGAGTGACTTTTCTTTCTTATTTAAAAGTTAAAAAAAAAAAAGATATTTGGTTTGAAATAATTTAAAGATTACTATTAAAATAAGAAGAAATTGGCTAAAATACATATACTTTTATATTATTCGTGAGAATCCCTTGTGCACCTTTATTCGTAGAGAAACGTGACAACGATATCGTCAAATAACTAATACTATCAACTAACTCTGTAAATACACTCCGAACGTCTTCCCCCCCACAATTCTCTATATTAATATTATACAAGTACTTAATTTTTGTACGTGTTATTTGACGTCCGGAGCTATACGTCCATGGATGGTTATGAGGGCATCCGTATGGTTTGAGAACGACGTTGAGAACAGTAATAAAGAATATTCATAAAAAATTGAAGTTGACATTTCATTAACAGAATTCACCATCAAGGCCAACAACCATAATAACACACTTCCATTGCAGTGGTCCTGAAAAGTATTAGGAATATGAAGTTCTAACTCACAAGAAAGCAACCCAGCAGCAGCTGCTAATTACAAGAGCAGTTTTAACGATGTCTTATCCTAAGAATTAATGGATACCACAGCTCACAATGATACATATTAGATATGGTAAAGAGGTGGGGATTCCCCGATCTACATGGGGATGCGGCCCAAACTGAGTGGGACTCCCCAACTAACTGGGGACAGGGGCTAAGGTTCATGTCCCGAGTCGGGAAAGGAACGGGAGCGGGGAACATGGTCCCTAATAAATGAATATATTTTAATCATTATATTTATATTATAAAAAAAATATATGTATAAAAATTGTACTAATACTAATCGACTAAAAATTAAAGACCACAAATTCAATTAACGATCCATTCAAATGTTAAAGCTCATAGCCTCGGTTTGGCTAATGATTTATAAAGAAGAATAATATTCACGGATAAATCAACTCCGTCCATTTGATTTTTCAATTTCTAACCCAAAATATTGGCTTAGTTTGGTCAGCCATCTCCTCTGCTTTTCCAGTGAAAGGTCAAGTAGGCTTTGCTTTTGCTTTTACTTTTACTTTTACTTGTGTAAATTTAAAGCATGATTCACGTTCATATGGACGAGTTTTGTGTGATTTGGTTCGAATTTCTCTCTTTATGCAATAAACTACATCGAAAGCCAATGGGAACACATGTTAATTCAAGTACTACACAAATTTTGTAAAGTAAATAGTTCAATAGCTAAATTTGAAAGTTTATGCAGCTCTAAAGCAAGAGAAATGTCAAAGAAGTTCAATCATTAAATACTTTGGTGGGTTGGCCAAAGGCTTAAGTAAAGAGTAAGCAATAGAATAAAAAGAAGGGCTCATTAATTATACACATCATGAGATCAAGAAAAAGTACCAAAGAAGGTGTTTTTTTTATTAGCACGGCCAAAAGGACATGGAATTAGAATCTTAAAACCCTTCGGACGAGATTCCTAGTTTTGTTTCTTATAGAAAAGCTTCCAATTTTGAGACTTATTTGACAGAGCTTATGCTTTTACTAAGAGTTTTCTTGAAAAGTTCTATTAATCAGATAAAGTACTTTTAGAAAATCATTCAAAGCGGTTTTTTAGTTTCAAATGCAACTTCTGACTTTTCAAAAGTCTTACGAACGACTTCTAAACATTTCTTATAGAAATAAGAGTCGTAAATTGATGATGAGACATAATATTTCGATAGAGTGTTGCAATCGCATGTTCTAAAGATTTGCCTTGTATTGAGAGGTAGGTAATTTTCTATATATAGTTTGAAGTCACTTGTAATTTTATTTTTCCTTCAAATTATCATATATTGAATTAATATTAAAAAGAAAAAAAAAAAAAAAGGCATCCAGTGGGTTGGACCAAACTTGGGCTCTAAATTTACTAAAAAAATTGACCCATCTAAAAGTTTTTGGGCAAGTTTGTACTATATATATGAATGCTGTAAACATTTTTGTGTTTTTATGTATCGTAGAATGAGGTTTGAAGGTGATTTTTTTTTTTAATTTTTGTATTAGGGGATTCAGGATTTTGATTTTATTCGAATATGTTCTATGGAATTCTGGGTTTTCTTTGATAAAGACTACAATTTTGGGATTTCGATAAAATTAAGAAGTTCAATCATTAAATACTTTAGTGGGTTGGCCAAAGGCTTAAGTAAAGAGTAAGCAATAGAATAAAAATAAGGGCTCATTAATTATACACATCATGAGATCAAGAAAAAGTACCAAAGAAGGTGTTTTTTTTTTTAGCACGGCCAAAAGGTATGGAATTAGAATCTTAAAACCCTTCGGACGAGATTCCTAGTTTTGTTTCTTATAGAAAAGTTTTCAATTTTGAGACTTATTTGACAGAGCTTATGCTTTTACTAAGAGTTCTTTTGAAAAGCTCTTTTAATCAGACAAAGTACTTTTAGAAAATGATTCAAAGCAGTTTTTTAGTTTCAAATGCAACTTCTGACTTTTCAAAAATCTTACAAACGACTTCTAAACATTTCTTATAGAAATAAGAGTCGTAAATTGATGATGAGACATAATATTTCGATAGTGTGTTGCAATCACATGTTCTAAAGAGTTGCCTTGTATTGAGAGGTAGGTAATTTTCTATATGTAGTTTGAAGTCACTTGTAATTTTATTTTTCCTCCAAATTATCATATATTGGATTAATATTAAAAAGGAAACAAAAAAAAAGGGATCCAGTGGGTTGGACCAAACTTGGGCTCTAAATTTACTAAAAAAATTGACCCATCTAAAAGTTGTTGGGCAAGTTTGTACTATATATATGAATGCTGTAAACATTTTTTGTGTTTTTATGTATCGCAGAATGAGGTTTGAAGGTGATTTGTGGTTTTTTTTTTTTTTTAAGGGGATTCGGGATTTTTATTTTATTCGAATATGGTTCTATGGAATTCTGGATTTTCTTTGATAAAGACTACAATTTTGGGATTTCGATAAAATGAAATTGGGGCTTATTTGGTGGAGTAACAGAAGATGTCCAATGAAATCAATTTATATATAGTTTGTTTATTGTTTTTGGTTTTTACTTGATAAAATGCACAAATAACGGTATAAAAAATGTTGAAATGTATTATATGAATTTTTATTTTAAAATTGAGAATTAAAGTTCAAAAATCGATCCAAGGGACCATGAACCCGACCAAATTGACTCGGGTTAACCGTTATTTTGTCCAGACATAATTATAAATTTATAAACCTACAAATATTTAGAACGTGTAATTATATTATTTATCGCCTACAAAAATTGTTCACAAACATCAAATTTCTGAATAGTCATGCAAGATGAAATCACAACTAGAATATCTTCATCTTGGATCTCAAAAATAATTATTCAAACAGAATTGAAGTGTTTTTCAAGAATTGATGATTTGAACAATAATTTATTGTTGCTTTTAGTCAAAAGTATTAAAAGAACACTTTTAGGTCTAAATTATTGTCAAAGGAGTTAATAAATAAAAACCTACCCCTTAGTTATTAAAATTTTACAAGTTAGATTTTTGATTAAAAAATATTAATTTTTTAATTGGTACATGAGGATAGAAGTGACATGTTGGAGCTCATATGAAAATTGAAATGATTCGATAAGAAAAGTCGTCTTTCGTGTAACACAAAAGAGGTAAAAGGAAAAGGGAACATAAATCTTTTCTACCAACTAGTTAGTAGGAAATTAGGAACTTTTGTTTAGTCATAATCACCCTCTAGCATAGACAATCCGCACTTATTGAATTTGATATATAATTTCTCCTTCCTTAGTATTTTCAATACTATCTTGAGTTGTTCTTCAAGTTGCTCCTTGTTTCTTGAATACACCAAAATGTCATCGATGAAAATAATGATCAATTGATCTAAATGTTGATGAAATACCCTATTCATCAAATCCATGAACACTGCAGGAGCATTTGTCAATCCAAAAGGCATTAAAGTAAACTCATAATGACCATAGCGAGTTCTAAATACTGTTTTTGGAATGTCGTTTGCCTTCACTTTTAGCTGGTGGTAACCTAACCTCAAGTCAATCTTGGAAAATACTATTGCACCCTTCAATTAATCAAAGAGGTCTTCAATTCGAGGAAGGGAATATCTATTTTTAATAGTCAATCGATTTATTTCACGATAGTCAATACATCCTCATCGAACCATCTTTCTTCTTTACAAACAAAATCGGTGCACCCCAAGAAGACACACTTGGTCAAATTCAATCTTTATCCAACAATTCCTTCAGCTGTATTTTCAATTCTTGCAGTTCCTTCGGGGCCATCCCATATGGAGCTTTAGCTACCAGTGTCGCTTCTGGTACGAGATCAATCTTAAACTCCACTTATCTATCTGGTAGAGTACCGGCAACTCATCAGGGACCACATCGATAAAATCTCTTACAATCGGTATCGAAACGAGAGGAAGCTCTGATTGTTGGGTTCCAGATATACTCACTAGAAATCCCTAGCAAGATCTTTCCTTCAACGTCTTTTCTGCCCTTATAGCCGATACAATGTGAGGCAAAAACTTAACACGCACTGCGAAGAATCAAAACTCCTCCTCCTCAAGCCTTTGAAAATTTACTTCCTTCTCAAAGCATCAGATGGTTGCGTGGTTGCTCCCCAGCCAATCCATTCCCAAAATAACATCGAAATCTTTCACATCTAAGACGTATAGATCAACATTTAAATCTTTTCCATTCATTTCTAATTTTATCGCCCTAGCTATCCGATTGGTGTTCGAACTGGGATTGCATCCAGAGATTGAAGGAATCATGGCATCCCACCATACCGTAACTGCATTGTTCATATAGAAAATTTTAATCAAGTGACGCTGAGTCACCTTATCATTTTTTTTGGTATTGGTGTAGATTTAACTGTTGGACACATGTATTTTGGAATACTATGATTTGAATAGTTGGTGACATGATGGATATATAAATATATGTATACATACATATAGTTGTTGATTTGATTGCTGATTTTCATATCCTTTGATTTTTAGTTGGGTGCAGGTAGTTTACCTTCAATTTATTTTTAGTTAGGGCACGATTTCAAATTCAGTGAGGACTCTATAATTCTTTTCAAATGATTTGTACATAAATGAGCTTGTTTGGCTAAGCCTAGATAATGTAAAGTACTTTTACTTCCAAATAGTTTTCTTTAATAACTCATTTTTCAAAAAAAAAAATTGTAATTTGTACCTTACTATTAAAAAAACAAGCAAATTACTTATTTTTAATTTTGACTAAAAAGATAATTTATTTTGCACATATTATTTGCTTATGAATAAATGAATTTTTAAACCGATTGATTATAAGAAACAAACAGTCAAATAATAGAAAAGTGTGCTATTCATTGAAACTTTATTGTTTTGTTCCAAGTAAAGAAACGTGTTTCTGACTTTTGTGTTATTACTATTGTTAGTAGGAAATTAGGAACATTTGCTTAGTCATAACCACCCTCTAGCATAGGCAATCCGATGGCATGCGTGCAAGGGCAAAGGAGAAAAATAGCATCACTTCGGACCCTCCTCAAGGTTTCTAATATACGTGTTAGTCCATTGTTCCACTCTTTTCATTGCATTATGTCCAAATGTGATAAAGACAAAATGGTGAGACCAAGACATTTGTGGACTAAATCATTGTAATTAATGCTTGTGGGTCTCCTCCTATGTGAATGGGGGCTTTGATGAAGGAAATTAATATATATATTAATTCATGATCCATGCCATAATTTGATTTCCAATATCTTTAGAAAGTTATTTATTTGTATTTGGATTAATTCCATTCGTCGTAATCGTACTTATACTCTAACGTCAATCAAGCAACTGTATTTTAATTTTGTTTAATTAGGTACTACATTTTTATTTCATCTCGAGTTACTCCGTCTAATTTCATCGCTTAGACAAATTAAACAACTTACGCATGCGTCAATTAATGAAAGAGTTTGACGTAATTACCTTAATTGAGACAAGAGAGTAAACTATAATGGGCTCGAACAATATACTGTATCTAACTATACGCACGTTTGAATTGTATTCCAGTACTTGCAATATACCTTACCTAACGACCCATTCGTATCTTGTTAAAATTGTTGAACAACCAATAGAATGTTTTGTGTGGCTACTGTTTTGATGCAAGGTTAATTCAGATTCCACAGGAAATAAAGAGGTAGGTCACCTGCAAAACCCAGCTTTTATTCCTTGATCTTCTCTTTGAAACTCCTTTTACATTTCTTGCATATCCTTTTCTACTCTCCCTTTACATGACACTTTCAGTACAGCATTTTTAGGTCCTCTCATCAGCTGTCCAACTGAATTCCAATTGAAAAGAAGATTTTTCTTGTGGTGCTTTTGAATATATATAGGAAGGAGTGGTAGCTTCTTAATGTGTGTATTCATAGTCTAGAATTGAGAGAGGGGAAGCTGTTTGGACAGGTAAAATTGAGAAAATCAGCACACCTTTAATGCTTGTTTGTTTTGCAGGCACTCATATAGGAGGAGGAGACGACTGAGCCGAGTGGAAGGGCTGCCACTCGACAGATAAAAGTTACTGTAGGGATAACTGTGTAAGCTTACCCAAAGGCTCATATCGCGTGAAAAGTTTGGCACCTCGATGTTGGCTCTTTGTCTCGTGGGACTATAGTGCATTCTAAGGGTTGTGTTGTTCGCCATTGGTTACGGAAAATTATTTGAAACAGTTTTATTTCCTGAGACACTGAAGTCCAATAAATTTCTCATCAATGACTCGAATTAGCCCAATAATTCTTTTGGTTATAGTAATTCTATCAGTTCTGTTCTTCATATTTGGTCTGCTACAATTTCTTATTAGATGCCTCATGAAAAGGCCATCCTTTTCATCAATTTCTCAACCCAATAGATTCCCAGAAACATCTGGTTCCCATACTTTTCAAAGGCAGCTGCATCAACTCTTTCGTCTACACGATTCAGGCCTCGATCAAGCTCTGATTGATGCTCTACCAGTCTTCTACTATAAGGATATTGTGGGATTGAAGGAGCCATTTGATTGTGCTGTTTGTTTATGCGAATTATTGGATCTTGACAAGCTCAAGTTCATTCCGAACTGTGGCCATGCTTTTCATATGCATTGTATAGAAACTTGGCTTTTGTCAAATTCAACTTGTCCTTTGTGTAGAGGTCTCATTAACCCAGAACTTCACCCGGGACATCCTGTGTTTAATTTTAACGAGTCGATGGAACAATTGAATCGTGAGTATACTGATGGCGATAATGAGACTTTTTCAAGACAAAACCGGGGAATGTTGCAAGAAAATGAAGGTGAATTGAGGGTGTTTTCTGTTAGGCTTGGCAAGTTCAGAAGCCCGAATGAAGGTCACGAAACTGGAGATGGAATTCAAAGCGAGATCAGTAGCAGCAATCTGGATGCGAGGAGATGTTATTCTTTGGGTGCATTTCAGTACATAGTCGGTGATTCCGATCTGCGAATAGCTCTGTCCAATGAAAACGGAAACAAAGTGAGAAATCATATTTTCGACTCTGGCGGTAATACTACTAATCGCATGGAAGCAAGATGTGACAATGAGAAATGTGTAATTAATGCTGCTAGAGATGAACAGAAGATTAGTGTTAGGACAAGAGGTGATAGTTTCTCCTTTTCCAAGATTTGGTTATGGCCCAAAAAAGACACATTCATAGGTTTTTCAGAATCAAATGTTGGTGTAAGTTCTTCTAGTATTGGCATGCCTGTTACTAACAGAAATAATGCAGTGTGAACTTTTTCTTCAGTTATGGCATTCTTTGCTGTGCACCATTGCAAAGTACAATTGACATGATTTGACGGTATAATGAACTTATTTTGGCTTATTTGTCTTCATCAATGTTATCAAGTATCAAGTACTATCCAATCTACGGGGCCATACATACCAGTACTTTGAAACTTTTGAGACAAACTCCAATTTAGCATCCTGCAAATGGGTCCCAAGGGCGGATTTTGGTAATGGTGATGAGGCCAATGGTGTACGTATGCCGAGTGAACCAAGAAGTTACGAGCTTGAGTCGAAATCCCTTTTTCACTACTCGAATTCACATCTCTAGTGTAATACATTATGGAAACATTAGATTCATTTAGAGAATATGCATTTTACCTTTTGTAATTTACATCTCTTGTTGTTGCCATAATTTGTACTTGGTTTTGACTAGCTTATATTTTTTTAGGGGTTTTATATGTTTATATTTTATTTTCAATTTAAAAGTACGTTTGGTCCCAAAAATTTATATGTTAGTTCCAATTTAGTCACTCATCTTTTTTTCTAATTTCAGTTAGTCACTCAACTTTATATACATGAAAGATTTTTCATAAGCCGAATCAGTACTTTTGATTCAGAGGCGAATTTTAGCCCAATTTGTTTTTTATGGCTTAAAAGGTCATTCTAATATGTGAAAAATAAATTTTTATATGATTTTTTTTCTTTGTTTGGTCCGACGCAAGAAAGTAGTCCATTCTTAACTCCACATTCAAACAAAAAAGACTTTTACTTTTATTTTCTGTAGAATAACTTTTGAAAAATGTTATCTTCATTTTTGTTTGAAAACTAATTTTTAAAAAAACTTCCTATGGTGAAAGTGCTTTTAGAGGAAGTCATATTGGACCAATTTCATCTAAAAGCTCTTCTAGTCAGAATAAACGCTTTCATAAAATTAGTCAAATAGGTCCAAAAGCAGTATTCGTCTCTCAAAAACTTCTTTTAACTTTTCAAAAATCATGTAAAATGGGCCCTACGTATAGGTTGTATTACATTTTCAACATCAAGTGTGAACTTCTTAAAAGTGTTTGACAATTGATATCAACTAATAATGTTGGTTTTAGGCCTAAGCAACTAATGATCTCAATCTTGATTTGTGGCTTAATTTGGTCCCAAGTCTATCAATCTTTTTGACTAATCTCTTAGCAATTAGTTCCTCTGTTTGAGGTGCAAAGTGTGGGTGGACAATTGGTGACATAATTATGATGTATAATGGAATGAGATGAGGTTCTTGTTCTTAATGATTAGAGTAGCCACTTCCAATATGTCTCCAACATATTTCTTTGGCAGAGTTCCATTTAACCTTTCGATTTTGAAGTATTCTTTGTAAAGATCAATCTTTTCCTTCTATGGAACTATAAATAAAGCATGGTTAATTACCACCGCAATTTCTTACAAGTTCGTCGCGTTTTGATTTTATTAAAGGTCCTTAACATTTACTTGTCGACATTCTTATGTTCTTCACTACATTCTTACCTTTAACATATCGTTAATCTGCACATTTTGTCCGTGATAACGGTTTCCATTCAAAATTTTACTAAAAGAGCGTAAAAAGACTTATTTGCTCTTTACATTTTCTAATAAGCAAAATAATAATAATAATACAAAAGTACAATTACATATTTTTCCCTCATTTTAAAGCACGTTAACATAATTTTTGGACGAAAACCGCCCTCAAAGATAATTATATGTCAATTAGTGAAAAATTGAAGATACGAATATAATATAAAAATGTTGAGGGTATAAGTGTTAAATAAGTAGATGTTAATGGCTTTTACTACAATTAAATATGTTGCTTTTTATAAAAAATTGTGGCGTAAATATATTTACCCTTAAAAAATGTCAATATTTTATTAAAAAGATGATTATACTTCCAATCCAACTTTTTAGTAAGGCTAAAAAGAGTAATGTTATTCAGTACCATCGATGTTAAGCACTGTTTTAGATGACATCCGTGTGTCATTAAATGATAAATTCAGTTAAATACAAGCAATTGAATCTATCAAGTGTGATCATTTAGACTGTGTTGATGTTAGATATCATTATTCGACTAAAAAATGTAGATGGAGGAGTTTATGTTACTAAGTTACTTGGACTCGGGTTCGAGTGTCCTCAATTCAAACAAGGGCTTATTCAAAGGGGTAGAAAAAGGAACCCAAAACTATGTCGTTAAATTGTTCTCAATTGTCACTGGTCAGCTTGCTCGAGAAAAATCACACTTTTAACCTAGATTTTGCGAAAATCAATTAACCGGTTACTTCTGTCGATTATCATCTCTGTAAGTTGAATATTTTCCCAAATTAGGTTTTATACTGAAATACATACATGCAAACATCAAAGATATATGACTAATTATTATAATGTGGTATTTGAGTTCGACAATAGGAATGGCGGCTGAACAACCAAAAGCGGGGACTGAGGACGCAAAGATCGATCTATTCGAAGATGATGACGAGTTCGAGGAGTTTGAAATTGGTCAAGGTAAATCATTTATGCATTTTCTTTCCATTATCTGTTATTTTATATAGAAATTCGAGTCTTTGACATAGTTGTCTATATGCGATTTTTCTTTGAATATCATCTTTGGATTTAATCAAGCGAAAGGAGTATAATCTTTTAATTTGAACTATTCTCTCAAAATTATGTATGTTAATACTTTTTTTTACTAGACAGTTTGTTTTGAATGTGTATAAATAGTCTACTTTTGTCCTGGGATCCTATAGTCTTCCACTGTCTATTCTTGCAGATTTGTCTTGAAGCAAGATTCCAATGCAATTATCTTCATTATCATCTGCTTTTTGGGTAAAAATTCCATTGTCTGAACATTTGGAAGCTGATTCGTTAACTGAAATATTCTTTTCTGGTCTCTACACATTGCAACCTTGCTTGCACTTGACTTTTTAAAGTGATAAAAAAATCTTATTAGGATTGATCGATATGGTTGTCGTAGGCTGGATTGGCATGAAATCATCTTTCTTATATGTGCAATGTATCGAGAAAATGGAGTTTTGAATAGTGATTTTTGGAGAATGCATGGTTAAAAAATAGAAAATGTTTTGAATTTACATGCAAAATATTTTAGTGTGTAAACGTGTGGTTGAAAATGAGTATGAGAATTGAAAAGTTTTGAAAAATGGTTATCAAATAGGGGCTAAATGTGTTTGATTGACTTAATTTTCAATTTAGATATTACATAGTATGATTAAACAGGAATCTTAGTATGATTAAATAGTTGTTATTATTCAACCTTGAGGGGTTGTTCAATTGGTCAGACCTTGGGTTTGCTCTCCAATGATCACCAGTTCGAGTCCCCTCAGGGCCACTGAGGTGAGTACCCGGCCGTAAACTTCAGGGCCCCGTGGAATTAGTCGAGGTGCGCGCAAGCTGGCCCGGACATCCACGGTTATCAAAAAAAAAAAAAAGGTGTAAACTTCAGGGTCCCATGGGATTAGTCGAGGTGCGTGCAAACTGGCCCGGACATCCATGATTATAAAAAAAAATAGTTGTTATTATTCAAATAAAAATATTTGTACGACCTCTTTCCCCTGCTAAATGTAATCTGGAAATGTTGAAAATATTAAACTTACTATAGAGATGATTCTACGGTGATCAATCTTGTTGGTGCAGTTGTTTAGTTTTATAATAAATTAACTTATGAAAGAAGATCCTAGTAACGTGCGTTCTCTGAATTCTCTGAGGTTCTTTTTATTCAAGTTTATTATGTTCTTTTCCTTCTCATTAATCGGAATTGAATTCATTTATTCAAGATTCTGATTTTTAACATCTATTAGAACCTTTTTGTACTGGGAGCATCATCTATGCAACTTCCTGAATTTTGGCAGAGTGGGATGAAAAAGAGGAAGGTAAGGAAGTAACTCAGCAATGGGAAGATGATTGGGATGATGATGATGTCAATGATGACTTCTCCCTGCAGCTTAGGAGGGAATTGGAGAGCATCACTGAGAAGAATGGAGCTAAGTCTGCATGATATAAGTTTCTCTTATTGATGCTTCACCATAATTTTTTGTTACCAAATCCTGTGATGTTGTCCTCCTGGAACATTGTGTGTAGGAGAATCCATTGAGATTTGATTTTGATTCCTGAGCCTTGTTATTGAAGAAATTTTCTATTTTCACTTCAGCTTGACCCTATTTTTTTTATTTACTTCTTATTCTGAGGTATATTTTTTTGTTCAAACTTGACATCATCTCACTGGCTATTCAGTTTCTTCCATATCTGACTGATACATGAGGAATTTATGGCATTTTTAAGAAAGTTAATTATAGGGGCCAAGTGAGACTGTGAGAGTAGTATGGACACAAAAAGCATGACTAATTGTGGTCTGACGGTGTAGATCGCATCCTATAAAAGGTTTTTGACTATTCATTATAGACTTCTTTGAATAGTCACACTCAATCTGAAAGATCATGACTTTTCAGTATGCACCTATTCCATTTGAAAAATCGTGTCTAGTCATCGCACTTTTCCAATTTACAACTATTAAAATCATTAAACATATCTATTAAAACCATAAAATTCCTAAAACTTATTTGTCAAATTCATCGAAGTGATTATTCAACAATTCGATCAGATTTCGATTTGATTAAATATGACCTTCACTCATTCAATAATAAAGTCAAGTACTTGGCTCTCTTAACTTGATTTAATATGGAGTTGCATAAATATAAGCTCAACAAAATGATTTGAGTGTTGAGCACTTAGTTCCATTAACTCAACAAGTGGTCAAGTTGAACCTTATCTCTACAATGTAAAAAATAAAAATAGTGAAAACAAATGTAGATAATTTCTAGTAAGCTTAAATTGGAATATTTTGAAAAAAAAAATCCTCAGAAGTAACAAGGTAATGTGATACAAGTAATTAATCTTATTCCAGTGCAAAATCAGCAGCTTGGTTGTCTTTTCTTTTTAATTTTCTATTGTTCTTTATTAAAGTAAAAGCAAAAATTCTAATGAAGGAGTATATTATATTAATAATTAAAGATCTTCAAGAAACTATACATCTGCATGATCTTTCAAGTCAGCCTTGTAAACAAAATACAAATTTTAGGAATTCTGTTGTTTGCCGGAGAATGTGGATCGACGAGATTTCAATAATCGACACTCTATCAATAATCGAGCCAAATCTCGTGTATCACGAGGGATTTGCCTTTTCTATGTAGTTATTGGGATTGGATTGAAAACAATTCTTGATCTCTATATCAATTCAACTCCGATTTCACTTGACGGACTAGTTTCTTCGCCAATTTGTGGTGCATTAGCTCTTGCTCTACAGATTGGACAAGCAGCAGTTTTCAAAAGCCATGAATCTATGCATTGAACATGAAAAGTATGATTGCAAATAGGCAGCATCCTGCACTTTTCACCTCCCTTAAAATTCTCCAAACACACGACACATTCTACAGAACTATTCCCTTTCGCCTCCACCTTGTAATCGAAACACATCAGCTTTTTTATGTCATCGGATGACAAGCCCGGGATTCGACTGATTCGACTCGGAATAGAAATTCGATCCCTGATGTAGTCCCCCCTGAAAGCCCTCCCAACAACACAAACATGAATCATGATCAGAATTGCTATACCTATAACTAATAGGAGTACAGAAATGATAATTTGCATGGACATGGCCATTGCTTGAGGATCATGTGATTTGAGTGGAAAAGTTTCTGCAGACTCAAATTACATTTTCCAGAAGTTGTTTTCTTGGTGAGAAACTTGGTGGATGGAAAGAAACAGAAAAATGGCATTGGGTTCAAATGGACTAATTTGGGTTAAATAGGAGTCACTAAACTTTTAGAAAAAACTTACATTAGTCACTAAACTTTATATTGTTCTAGATTGATTATTGAAATTAATAGTATTTCGAAGTGGTCATTTTATCCATACAAGTAACAAAACGTTGACACGCCATTCAACCTTTTCATTAGTTGGACTAATAGACACACTGGCGCCCGCGCCACAATACGTGGCTTCTCGTGTCTTTCATCCCATATAAATAAGAGTAATGTTATTTAGCCTCGCTGAAGTTATAATTTCAATCTACGTAGTGTTAGGTGATATGCTAAATGAAATGTGAAATTAAATGACTCATTTAATTGTATTAAATTATTAAATAATATTTTAGTTGATTGATCAATTTATGATAAAATGAAATTTAATAACCAATCTGAAATTTTATTTAAAGTTCAGTGACGTATTTTTAACCCCTTCTATAGATTTGGATTATTGTGCAACAGTAATTCTGAGAGCATCCTAAGTTGAAGAAGACTTGTAATGTTGAAAAAGTCATTGAAGAAATAAACTTATAATAGGCTAAATTAATAGTTACCATTGAAATCTTATAATCCACCTGCCATAATAATCCCATGATCCATCAGTGGTTTCAACATTAATAATTAATTTGGGATTGATTGGAAAACTCAAATTTGGATAAATTCAAGTTACGTAATAAAAGTACTCAACCGATAAAAAGATGAAAATTTTCAATACATCGAGTTAGTTAAGTAATTTGTTAACAGTACTCTAGGTTGAATGAAGATGGGGTCCACCCACCCCCACACGAAACTCCGTAATGTACGTTTTGACTTCTAAATCGAGGACTTACGAGTTTTTATAGTGAATAGTTGGATATCTCATTCAAAAGTTTTAAGTTATTAGATTGATAATATATTTTTATGAGCTTAAAGAAGGTTGAAATTTAAAATAAAAACTATGTTTGTACTAATGCAATATAGAAAGACTAAATAACCTTTTTTTTTTTTCCCTTGAATGCGCTAAATAACATTTTTTATTGGAGCAAAAAAAAAAAAATGCAAGTTGATACAGCCCACAAAAAAATTGGACCCACATCCCCTTGGGGATAATTTTAAGGTCCAATATTACAAAATAGTCTTTTATAAGTTTGGATTTAGGAAAATGGCCCTGAATTTTTTCTTAGAAATAAAAAAGTGGAAATTATACAAAACCAGAATTTTAATGATTCAATTTCAAAAATCAGATTAAAGGTTTTAACTTTTCAAAAATCAGACATTTCATTTTAAATATTAAATATTAATTATACAATTTTCATTCCAAACCCTAATCAATTTCATTTTAATTTTACCCTCCTTCTCTCTTCTCACTCTTTACCTACTCTCTTCACCACTCTCTGATCTCCTCGCTCTTCGCCGGCAGTCAGCCTCCACGAGATGGTGAGGCCTCGTCTGGCGGCATTGTGCACAAACACGAAGTAGCGAGTGACGTTTATTCGTGCAAATCGCCGCTGCATTTTTTTTAATGTCTAATTTTTTTGCAATTTTTGTGGGGGAGTCGTGATTTTGTAGTAGTTGATGGACGTTGTGGAGTCGAATCGCTGCTGTGATAGCAGCGACGATGGGGCGATGGTAGGCTATGTATTGCTTCGTGATTTGGGAATGATTTTTGCTGGTGATGACAGTGGTGGATTTAGTTGTGGTCGTGGCTTTGTTGGATCGACGGTGGATTTGACGGAGTTTGTTGGTTTTGGTAGTGGTGGCGGTGGCGGTGGTGGATTCGACGGTTAGTGGTGATTTGTTAGTGGTTGTGATAGGGAGTCGTGGTGGTGGTTTATAAGTTGAACGTTGTAGTTTATTGGAGGTTGTAGCGGTGGAGATGGTGAAGTGGTGATGTTGTTTTCGGTTGGTTCCATGGTGTATTATGGTTGGGTTGTGTAGATGGAGGCAGTATTGGTGGCGGTCGACAACGACGACGTTGATGACAATAGGGTTGGGGATTTTTTATTTATTTATTTATTTTTTTGTGGGATGGGAGGGGGATTGGTAGTGGAAGTTCTGTGTTTTTAGTCGTGGGAGGTTGTGGGTAGGTGGTGATGGTGGTGGTTCCGGCGACAGGGTTTCGATCGATATGTTGTTGGTGGCATTCGTGAGGTAGTGACACAAGTGTTTGGTGGTGGTCACAGATTATTTGGTTGGTTTATTGCAATGATATGGTGGTGATCACAAATGATTTTGTCGATTGTGACTAATAAACAATATGTGACTAATGAAACAGATAAAATGTGACCAATATATACTGTGTGACTTAAAAATTTATTAATTTGTGATAAAAAATTTGATAAATTATGACCTAATATAATTTGTGATCAATTAGTTTGATATTTTGTGACCGTAAAAAAGATTATGACTTATAAAATTTGTGATTTGTGATCAATAAATAATATATGATTATTAATTTGATAAATTTGTGATTGATGAATAAGTTGCGACGTACAAATTTTTGATTTGTGATCGATGAACATATTGTGACCTATTAAATTTTTGAATTGTAACCGTAAAATAATTTGTGACATATGAAAATTGAGATTTGTGACCGATTAATAATATGTGACCAATTATATGGAATTTGTGACCAAAATATATGAAATTGTGACCTTAATATATTTAATTAATAAAATATATGTATAATTAATTAATTTATAAATAAAATTTTAAAAACTCTAAAATTTGAAATTTTAAACATAATATCTTAAATTTGAAATTGGTAAAATTAAATCTCTTAGTTATGAAATATTCCCAATAAAAAAAAGTATATATTATACCTTAAAATACTTCAACAATGAGGCCCAATAGAATGGTCCAACAGGAAGTCCGTTAAAAAGAGTGGACTGGGCAACCCATTAACAAAATTCTAAGGGTAGTTTCACAAATAGCCTAAAAATCAAACAATTTCTTAAATTACTTTACAATCTATTTAACCAAAGTATTATTTTCTTAGTAAGAACACTTTATAACACAGTGTATGAAATTCACTTTGTTATTTAGACGAGAAAAAATAATTCTGATTCTTAAGAATCCAATGGGCCTTTTTCGTAGAATCAGACAAACAAAGAAATGAATCTCGTTCGAATGCTTTCATGTTTGACAATTGGCCGAACGATTCAAAGTGGATTTGTTGTGCAAAGAGTGCATTATGACACATGCTCGCCTATGTGACGGAGCCCATAAAATTAAGAATTAGAATTGCTCAATGAACGAGTACCCATCGAGGACCAAGAAATCATCGATCCCGTAGATCTATAATCGTGACAATGGTATATATATAATCTTCGGACAACATCATCAACAACGAGCGAGTAAAAATAAGAAAACTTAAAGCTGATGTTAGACAAAGATCCGCTATTTTTGCACGAGAGAGAGACATTTTGATGGTGCCTTTCTTTAGCTGCACTCAAAGCAAAGCGTGCTCTGTCTCGTCTCGGACTCGAGTTTGCTTTCACCTTTTATGCCAGAAACTTTTATCATTTAAGAAGACATGCGCATTTCAGCATCAAATATCAATATAGGTAGAACCTTTCTACCATGCATAAGACCATATAATTATAAGATCCACGATTTTTATCAACTTTTCAATCATACATTCCATTGACTTTTATCAAAATTTAATAAAAAATTAATTTTTAGCTAAATCAAATAGGGACTAACTAACAGGGCCAAACTTGAAAATATAATTTTTTACAAGCGCAACAATCTCTTTAACATCATACATAGTCCATTCAAACACAATTTCTCTTGATAGGGAACATTACCTAGAATCAATTCTCGTGTATTCAAGAAATAAAAATACAAAGGGTTTTTGAAAATCGGTGAGATATAATGATGGTTACTACCATTTATTGTCCAAAATATCCTACATGTAAAAAGTGAAAAAATAAAATAAAATTCAAAAGTAGCAATCAAATCTAAAGAATAAATATTCACCCTAATTAATTTACAAAAAAAAAAAGGTCATTATTGAGTACATGATAGCCTTATGCTTTATTTGCACTGCTACATCTTCAAAAGAATTTAATCCAAGAAAATTTCACAAATTTCCTATACCGTCTTTCCCAAATTTAAAAAATAAAAATGTCATTGATGGGTTTTTAAATTTTCTGAGGCCCCACACATCTTGAGGCTCAAGGCCACTGCCTAGGTAGCCTTGAGCCAAGACCGGGTCTGCTAACTAAGACCATGTTTAAAACTTCTCAACTTTTCTTGTCCGAACTAATAAAATGATAAATGATTCAAGCTAAGCATATCACGAAAATCAAAATCCTTGCAAAAGAAAAAAAAACTGAGAAAACAAGTGCAATATTTCACAAAAAAGTCAAGAGGAACAACTCAAATAATTTATATTCTTTTTCCATATGAAATAAACAGATGATAGGATGACAATATCATCAAATTCTTGTAAAAATTGTAAACCTAAAAATAATCAAATCCAAACAAGACCTTAATTAAGATCAATCATCAGCAGTGGCCCAAGTCATATCAAATTCTTGTAAAAATTGTAAACCTAAAAATAATCAAATCCAAACAAGACCTTAATTAAGATCAATCATCAGCAGTGGCCCAAGTCATATCATTCTCAAAAATCTTGCAGACTCAAATTACATTTTCCAGGAGTTGTTTTCTTGGTGAGAAACTTGGTGGATGGAAAGAAACAGAAAAATGGCATTGGGTTCAAGTGGACTAATTTGGGTTAAATAGTAGGAGTCACTAAACTTTTAGAAGAAACTCACATTAGTCACTAAACTTTATATTGTTCTAGATTGGTTATTGAAATTAATAGTATTTCGAAGTGGTCATTTTATCCATACAATTAACAAAACGTTGACACGCCATTCAACTTTTTCATTAGTTGGACTAATAGACACACTGGCGCCCGCGCCACAATACGTGGCTTCACGTGTCTTTCATCCCATATAAATAAGAGTAATGTTATTTAGCCTCACTGAAGTTATAATTTCAATCTACGTAGTGTTAGGTGATATGCTAAATGAAATGTGAAATTAAATGACTCGTTTAATTATATTAAATTATTAAATAATATTTTAGTTGATTGATCAATTTATGATAAAATGAAATTTAATAACCAATCTGAAATTTTATTTAAAGTTCAGTGACGTATTTTTAACCCCGCCTATAGATTTGGATTATTGTGCAACAGTAATTCTGAGAGCATCCTAAGTTGAAGAAGACTTGTAATGTTGAAAAAGTCATTGAAGAAATAAACTTACAATAGGCTAAATTAATAGTTACCATTGAAATCTTATAATCCACCTGCCATAATAATCCCATGATCCATCAGTGGTTTCAACATTAATAATTAATTTGTGATTGATTGGAAAACTTAAATTTGGATAAATTCAAGTTACGTAATAAAAGTACTCAACCGATAAAAAGATGAAAATTTTCAATACATCGAGTTAGTTAAGTAATTTGTTAGCAGTACTCTAGGTTGAACGAAGATGGGGTCCACCCACCCCCACACGAAACTCCATAATATACGTTTTGACTTCTAAATCGAGGACTTACGAGTTTTTATAGTGAATACTTGGATATCTCATTCAAAAGTTTTAAGTTATTAGATTGATAATAT